CGCTTGTTTGGGGAATCTGTCAGGACTTGAAAGGGCGCCCAAGTTTACAAGGCTAACTTCCTGTTCCCGCCGGGCTGCCAACATAACCGCAGGCAGGTTCACCGAGAGAGTGTCCGTCGGCGCTACTCCTTGGCAGCCGAGCCAAGGAAGGCGGGCGGGAGGGAGGGAGGGAGGGAAGGAGCCCCGCCGGCAGCTCCGCCGCCCTGGATTCCTGGCGGGTGAATAAACTCCAAGGGAATAAACTCTTCCAGGTAGCGTGGAGACGCGACGCTTTATTTATAGACACCCACAGACACACACACACACACACACCCCGCGCGCCGGCCGGCCGCCTCCTCCTTGGCTGCCGAGCGCCTTCCAGGACAGCCCGGGCGTGGCGTGCCTTCGGCATGGGTAAATATTTGAGAAGTCGCAGCCAGGAGGAGAGCCGGCTAACGAGACGTATTGTGTGAAGAGCTCCGGAAAATGACTCGGAGGGAAACCTCAGCCACGCTGCGGGGGGAGGGGGGGGAAGAGAGCACCCTTTGCGCGCCGGAGAGGAAGCGAGGCGGGTTTCCCTTACTGGCTTTTTTTTTTTTTTTTCTGGTGGTGGGAATCTTTGAATGGGAAGCGGGGGACGCAGCCGGTGCGGGTCCCAGGAAGAGATCAGAGAAGAAACGAAACGATGATTTGCGATTTTACCAGGAACATTTAGTTCTTGCTTGTCGAGAAGCCTTGAAGTTGGTGGGGGGGGGGGAGAGAGGCCTGATTCGTACAAGGTAGTTCCTGCGGCCCTGGTTGCTTGTAGCAGCTGGCGGTCACTCCAGTTCTTCGCGGGCCCCCAGCTGCCGCCTGTCTTCGGTCACCAGAGCTGTCAGTGTCCATTGCTTGGCCAGAATAGTTCTTAATCTAGGACATGACAGCTGTGTAGTAGTTAGGCCCGACCTTTATTTCCAAATTCCATCTCTGTATCCTGGTTCCTGCGTAATCATGTTGTGAATCTTCTATTGTAGATTTGTCCGCTGGGCCTTGAGACTTCTTATCTGATGAAACAACTTTTCACCATTGAGAGTTTTTGCCAACTTTTGCCATGGAACAATTTCTCCTCCACCCTGCTGTATACTTATACGTACAGCAGCACATTTATACTCTCCCGGCGTCCTGCCTTACCTGGAGAAAACAGCACTATATAAATGAAGCAAGATAGCATCAGTACGCCTGGTGGAATCCAAAGTTGCTAGAGGTACAAAAAAGTTGTAGAGGAGAAACTTTTAAGGGAAGAACTCTCATAATAGTTCAAAGAAAACGCAGCTGTGCTCTGTGGCCAGGGATCCTGAGTGTCTGTTAGACAGAAGTGGAAGATGAGGTTGAGGGGATGCTATATCTTGGTAGAGTGCATGGCTGGCTGGAAAGCAGAATAGGGACAGTCCACACAGCAGCATCTTTGGCAGGTCTCCCTTGTAGAACTCCACTGGTCAGATGGCAAAGCTCTAGAATCGTATAAGAGTAAAAACTGCCTAGGCCACCCTAATCATTAGCTCCTCTCCCCAGCCTTTGCTACAACATCACAGAATTTTTGCTATGATGTGATGGATGAGGTCTGGGGGGGGGTTAACATTTTTGTGGGCAAAGAAAGCCAAGTAACATTTTTAATTAGGAAAAAGAAGACAAGATACGTTCAACCCTGTTACTAGAGCCAGAGGCAGATGTCAGATATAGATATGTAATGAGCCAGATTCTTACCTTCAGGCTCCAGTCTAATGTGCCATATTTCAGGAATTTTTGCCAGGAACATTTAGTTCCCAAAATCACACATCTAATCCAGTGGTATTAGAGAGGGAGGAGATGCTATAAGCATACTGAATCTGCAGATCCAGTCCTCTTCTGTTTCCCAATAGGTGCTTTGCTCAGCTAATACAGTAATGGAAACACTTTTTCAGTGTTAATCACAGAGTCTAGGGCAGATCATCTGCATACTGCTTTTTCTTTTGTCTCTCCCTTTCCCTGGCAAATAGGAACTATAGGAAACCCATTCCCTCTTTAACCAGACCTTGGAAAAACCTATAACTGTCCTTGCCTCATGATATCAACACATGTAAGTATACTCAGCTTTGCACTGTTGACCACTTTGAAGCATCATCATAGAATAATAAAGTTGGAAGGCCACCCCCCCTACTCAGTACCACCCCCCTACTCAGTACAGGAACCTAAATCAAATGATATCTGCCTAAATTTCTCTTGAATGCCTCCAGTGTTGGAGCACTCACCACCTCCCAAGGCAAGTGGTTCCATTGTTGTACTGCTCTAACAATTCAAAAGTTTTTTGTGATACTCAGCCAAAATATGGCTTCCTATAACTTTAGCCCATTATTACATGTTCTGCACTCTTGAACTTCAGCCCCAAAGGCAATTTTAGCTATCTTTTATCAACCAGACAACTTCTACTGAAATTCTGTCTTGCTGTGTAGAAATCTAAAAGGGCCAGGAGAATTAACCCACCCTTTAAAAAAAAATCTGGCCACCTAAGAGTGCAACTACACCAGTCAATTAAATTGGGAGCTGGTTTGGGTTTTTTAGAATGCATATAGCATCCTGTGGTGTTTGTGTTGGTATGTGCGTCTTAATGGAAGCTGCCCCCCATGCCTTGCTTCTATGTTGTAAGTAGACTGGGAATGGGGAGTGTTTCCCAGACTTCCACTGGTTGAAGGCTTCTCTCAAGCTACAGGGGAGAGTGGTTAGGTGGCAGCAACCGCGGGGAGCTCTGCAGAGCCAATAGGGAAGGTATTGTCTGTGTTCTGGTGAGGAGCAATTTCCAGGAATTGGTTGGGGAAGCAAGAATCGTGAGTCTTAATGCATCTGCAGGGTTGCCAATATCAGCAACTACAGCTGGTCCCCAGTCTCCTCACATTTTTATTATTTAATTGTTTTATGTTTTGAACTGACATAGCACTAGATCGATGCAGAAATAAAACAGAAACAGATGGGGGTAGGAGGAAGAGTTTGGACCGCAGGGAATCCTGCAGTCCCAAACCCCTTGTACTTGGCACCTGTTTCAGCAAACCCCGCAGACCCCCCACTGACTCTGTTTACTCTGACAGAGGCATTCACATATGCAAAAAAAGGGAGGCGGCAAAATAAATATCCCTCCTTGGGTTTTTTCTTAAACACCTTTTCTAACAAAAAAAAACCCCACAACTGCTGCACGTTGTGTAGGTGGATATTTTAAAATCAATTTAAAGCATGCTAAACCCGACACAAAATCAGAAGTATTACAGTGTGTAATAGGTAACTATTTCCACTGGAAGGGATGCACTAATGATTCAAGGAGGGGGGCAGGGGGGCCTTGCTGTATTCCCCCCTTTCATGAAGATTCCTGTATTGTTCAGGTAACTATTTCCACTGGAAAGGATGCACTAATGATTCAAGGAGGGGGCAGGGAGGCCTTGCTGTATTCCCCCCCCCCCTTTCATGAAGATTCCTGTATTGTTTTCTAGAACAGAAACATATTATTTTCAGTTCCTTTTTTGTTTTCCCCCACAAAATAAACATTAAAAGGAACTTAGTGTCAGGTAGGGATTGGGATAAGTTTGTATCAATATATACATACAATGAAACAGATTTTTTTAGTGGTGGTTGAGCTTGCTATGGTTGTTACATTAAAAAGTTAGTTATGTCTCAAATTTGTAACTTGAGAAATGGTTTTATCTTGAACCACATAGCTGTGCATGCACATGTGTGAGTGTGCACACAGGCATATGGTTTAGCTAGGGCAGGAAACTCAGTTTATCTGTGAGCAGGCTATAACTTAGACCCTATCCTGTCTGCAAAAGAGTGCTAGGAATATGGCCATTGCTTACACAGCAAGCATCTTCATTCTACAGATTATGGATATTATGCAATACGTAAAGAAATTGGAACACTTGAAATTCCTATGGATTATTCATGTGTTAAGTTTCTCTATCAAATGTTACTGCAGCAAGTTTACATTAAAATTAAAAAAATGGCAAGGTCTCTCATTGAGAGTTGGATTTTTTTATTTTTATTTTTTTGTTCAGCATATTTTTTTTTGGTACTGAAATTAATAGCCCGTTGTTTAGATTGCTGAATAAATAGAATCTATCTGTGGGACTGGGTATAGTTTTTGCCTTTATCTTCCTCTCACTGGGCCTCAGTACCAGTCTTAGCTATCCTAAATTTGAGGGACAAATTGTGATTGAATGATGGAGCTTAACCTAACAATAGAATTCTGTGATATGCCGTGGAACTTTACACTGTCAGATGGAAGTGTTTATATGCTATTATCCAAACAGAGAGTTCCCTCACCTGAAATACTGTATGCACTTAAACGGCTCATCTCTGAAAGGGTATTGTCAAATTGACGAGTGTTCAAAGGAGAGCCAGAAAAATGATTAAGGACTAGAAGGAGCTCTCCAGCAAAGAAAAAGATCTGGATTAAATATGAGACAATTAAAAGTGGCAAAGCTAAAGGGCTGTAAAATAATGCATTGGTATCAAGACACAGATTGGAAGGTACTACTCTCACTGTTTTGTAGACCAAGAGTATGACTGAATCAGAAAGATAGTGAAGTCTTAACAAAGAAGTGTCTTTTTGACATATAAGAATAATTTAGCGTGTGGAACATTCTGATAATGGATACTACTTAGGCCAAGAATGGTGAGAGAGGCCAATGAATTTTGGCTCATCTCAAAAGGACTGGTGACAAACTCAACCATATTAATAGCTAGCTACTTGGTTCAACACCATCTTTTTATGAATTTCAAGTTCTCTCACTCATCTCAAACCAAACAGTATTCAACATTGCAACAAATTCCCGTGTAACCCCC